CAGTGCGGGGAGAACAGGGGGGGGGGGGGGGGGAATCCCTGCAGGTAGCCTGAGTGACAGTCATGGCTCTCTGCAGGGACCGGATCGAGAAGTGAGCAAGCGATTGTATGTGTTTGCTCACTTCCCGATCTATTGAGCCGACTTGTGACAGTTTCATTGTAACACGTCGGCTCGAACTATGAGGTTGAGTAAAAATGACTCACCTTATAGTTCTCCTTTAATGTAAAAATACATTTTCAATATTTTAAAGCCTATCTCCAGGTAAAAAAAATAAACTACTTGATTGCCCATTTTTGTCTAGGGCAATTTTGTAAAGGACTTTTGCTTGCAGAAAATGTTCTATAACTTTCTTTCTGATGTCCTCAGACAACTATCTCCTTTGCTTTCCCTGCTCCATGTTCAGTGTGGTGCACAAAATAATACCCAACAGTGGAGTGACTACTTTTCTCGATTTAAATAGGATGACTGACTGATCACAAGATTGAAGACGTGTGTGATACTAATTACAGAAAACAGTTTTTAATATTACTATGATCCAATTATTTATAATCATTTCTAGGGTTACCAAAAAATCTGTCCAGGCCATTTTAGAATATCGTTGTAGGATAAGCAATAATTTATCTATTTTCAATCTTACTTTGCTTTATTCTATGACATACCAAATGCATGCAGCGATACATGAGGCAATTGTTTTTCATTTCCTTACTTTTCTGGTGGAATGAAGAATTGTTTCAACGAGCTATAAGGGTACCAACAAATTTGTCCATGTGTGTAAATGGGTGCGTGGTATTATAGCACAATTCTATGTAATGTTCTCTAAGGCAAATAGGATGGTTATATAATCAGGATCATTGTATGTGCACAGTATGTTGAAAATCACTTAAATGCCAACACAGCCGGAATCTGCAATTTTTTAAATGCTCGAGTTGTGACATATGAAAATACCTTGCATACAAAACATTTTTACATTTAACTCCAAGAAAAGATTGTGTATTGGGCCAGCTTTATATAACACATCTTTACAGCTTTTTGTTTCTAGTTATTAGCTACAGATGTGCCTGTGATGAAGTCCTGCACCAGCTAGGGTGCCTGTAGGATGGCCGATATGTAGCAATGAATGGGCTGAGCCATGGATCAGGTTGTTGTAAAACACCTATAGGTCTGGTCTTGGTCTGGAGGGCATGAGTCCCTTATGAAAGCTGAATGTTGAGCTATATAAATGAGACACTAACTAGTCTGGCAGAGCTGTGCATTGATGCAGTGTGAGATGGTTAGTTGAGTTGGGCTGAATATGTACCACTCTATTTTGTAAATGAATTTTTTCAGCCAAGGAGGGTCAATCAGTAGATCAATATGCCAATTACAAACACCTTCCCAGATACAAGACAGTGCATGTGTTAGCTACATTTAACCGTATTGCATGTCTGTAAAATTCCTAGGTGTGGACTTATACCCTTAGGTTTTACTTAGTACATAGTAATTACCGTTGACAAAAGACTAGAACCCAGCAATTACAACTTATTCAAACTGTAATTAGAATAGTAACTGTTGGGATTTGGTAATACAAAACCTCAGTGAAACTGGAACACAAACGCATCCTTATTCACCTTGTTACTAATAAATCCTAATTAAAAAATGAGCACGCTAAGCAAAGTGGGAAAGTGTTGGGTTGTAAAGTGCTGTCATCTAATGCTGTAAACATGCTTACAGGAGGGAAGAGCACAGGGTTGACATCATGTATGTCCTGCTGCTCCATCACTGTTTATTCCCAGGGGTGGGTCATTGTCTCAAGGCTGCATTGCTCAAAGCACAGGTTAAAACACATTTAAGCTGTAGATTGGGTGGGGAAGGGTTAGAACTTCTGTCCGGTTTTGAAATGTATGTATACCCCAACAGTGAACTTCTCTTATTTGTTCTCCTTTGATTTGTTAAATATTCCATTCAATGGGTTTTGTTGTATCAATTCGATAGGTGCAAAAAATACCTGGTGATCCTAACAGAAATCCATTGAGCTCATAGCTGCCTGTGCACTGTATTTAGTTAGCAGTAACATAATTTCTCTCTTTGGACTACAGAAACCCTAACACGTGTGTTATGGAGATGAGGAGAGGTGTTCTGTAGTCCTAACACACTTCCTGTTCTAATCACTGTCACCCCAGGACAGGAAATGTATTACTGGCAGGATCACTAGCGCAAAGAATACTGATGCAGCCACTATGTCCAAGGAGTGGTGAGCTGCAATATTTTAGATTTGTTTGCTCATGGATTTCGATACACTTTAAATGCTGTTTGTGTACCTGTAGAGTCAACTTTGTGGATGCTGTATTTTCTCTTTTAGAATTAAATTTACAATTCATACCTGTACTGTCTAACACCTACCACCTGGATAGGAAGCGAAGCCAAATCTCCCTAATTGGAACAAATGGCAATACAATCCTGGCAGTGGTTCTAAACCTTCCTCACTTCACAGTACATTTGTTGTTATTGCTGTTTGTGCTCTAGGTGGGGAGATTTTTTCCCCTTACTTCCTATACTGTCTGACACCCATCAATAGATCTGTACAAGAAAATCTCACAAATTGGGATAGACCGCAAGACTCACTCTACTAGAAAAATAGTTCTTACTGTGGTCTCTGTTAAATAGATTTCTACCCACCTCCTATTCTCCCAAATGGGAGATAACAAAATGGGAGATAACAATAAATGTTTTCACCAAAGTTGGGCTTTAAATCCAATAAAGTCTTCAGAAAAGTTATACAGGGTTATTCAGAAAACAGTGAAGAGTTTGGAGAAGGCAGGAAAAGTGAACAATCTAGGACAACAAAGCTGATTTGAAAAAAAAAATCTCCAATTCAGCTCACTTTCCAGTTCAGTTATGTTGTCCTAGATTGTTCACTTCTGCAAACTCTTCACCCTTTTGTGAATAACCCTGATAGACTTGGAAATGCTATCTGGAAGTGGTGATTTGGATCCTTACTTTTTGGAATTACATTTCAGGGCTCATTATGTACACATTATACAGAATGCCCCCAACTGCCTAAGAAGCCACATTTGAATAATTCAAAACATGGCAGTAGACTAAAATTCAAAGTTAGCGACCAGCATGCCATTCATCTCAATGGCCACTGCTCATGCCTCATGCAATGATGAGTCCGGCATGCTGGTCTCATTTCTGGCTGCTAACCATCTGCTTCTCCTTTCTCAGACAGTTGCAAAATATGACCATATTACAAGTAAAGAACAATTTTCTTAACTTTTGACAAAGTGATTTCTCTTTACACCTAACTACACAGTTCCTTGTCACTTGCACAGTCCTTGAGTACTGCAATGCAGGGAAAATGCTGACAATATACAGTGTTTATAGCATATCTCCACACATTTTGAGATGACGTTCAGCACAATGGGAAGAATTTATCCAAACTGGAGCAGACAGAATCTGGAACAGTTGCTTATAGTAACCAATCAGTTTCCACCTTTCATTTTCAAACTGAAGAGAGAAGCTAATTAGTTGCTACGGGTAGCTGTTCATGATTCTGTCTGCTCCAGTTATGATGCTCCAGTTATGATAAATTCCCCCAATGTATTTAGCCAATTGATACACCCCTGTCATTTTATGTAGACCCTTAAGAATCATATGCCAAAAATTATTGGTTAAACCCAGAATTGCCTTTTTTTTTATAACTTTTCCTTTATACTGACTTTTTGTAATAGCAAACAAGATAATTAAGAGATAAGATGAAGGTTTTCGTGCAGCATAATACTTTTGGTAGTTAAATAGAACCTTTTCATAGATATCAGTACATCAGACCAAAAAGAGGGACAATTGAAGAGGAAAGAGGGACAGAGGAATTTGGTTCCAAATGAGGGACAGCTGAGAGGTATGCTTATAGTACAGCAGATCACTCTCTGCAACGTTTTTATATTTGCCAAGGTGGACACAGATCAAAGTATAGGCTGAGCTAAAAATTATTCTTTTGTAAATGTTCTCTGCATATTCCAGGAAAAATGATCTCTACAACTGTCATGTTATCTTCAGATTTCACAAGTGAACTCAACATGCACACAATATGGATGCGGCTGGCCTTGTGAAATGTAACACATAAAACTCAGGCGTATGTAAACACATCTGTTTCAGCCTGCTCTGCCTCCTGTACAACAGATGGATCACATGAAAACAGCAGAAATTAAATATGACACCTGAATTTTGTTCAGTTCAGTCTTCACACAGTGAAAGCAGCATCCTTGTAAATATACAACAGTGTGGGCAATGCCTATTGTACCCAATACCAGTCATTGTTACAAAACAGTATCCATGCTCTGATGTTTTTACAAGTTCTTTACCTTAGAGTGATCTGTTATTTTAGTGATATATTATTTTTGATTCTAGGCATGTTGGTATAAATGTATGTTAACAATTTTAGGATTTTTAGCAAAAATAATATGTAATTAACCACTTCAAGACCAGGTGTTTAGACCCCCTTCCTGGCCAGGCCATTTTTCAGTATTCAGCGCTGCGGTACTTTGACTGACGTTTATTCCATCATGCAACGCTGTACTGAAATGAATTTTACACCATTTTTTGGGGACAGATAGAGCTTTCTTTTGGTGGTATTTAATCACCACTGGGGGTTTTATTTTTTATTATAATTAGGAAAAATTACTGAACATTTTGAAAAAAAAAACGTTTTTTTTAACATTATGTTAGGAAACATTTATTATTACCCAGTTTTTTGGTAAAATATAAAAGTCGGGGTCACGTCGGTTAAATAGACACCAAACATGTCAAGCTTTAAAATTGCGCGCACCCGCGACATCGCAGAAAACGACCGCAACCAAAATTAGCCATAGGCGACGCTTTAAACGTTTTTACCGCTCATCAGTTTAGTGTTATCAGTGATTGATGGCCCTAGACTTATTGCTCTCACTGCGACGTT